GTCTGGGGGGTGAAACAAGGTCGGGGGTTTATACAAGGTCAGGGTGTGTACAAGGGCAGGGGTGTGATAAAGTCAGGGGTTGATAAAAGGGGCAGGGGTTGATACAAGGTCAGGGGGGTTAACAAAGGGCAGGGGTGTGTACAAGGGGCAAGGGGTGATCAAAGGGCAGGGGGGTGATACAAGGGCAGGGGTTGATACAAGGTCAGGGGGGTGTACAAGGTCGGGGGGGTTTATACAAGGTCGGGTGTGATACAAGGTAGGGTGTGATACAAACCGGGGGGGTGATACAAGGTCAGGGGTTGATCAAGGCAGGGTGTGATACAAGGGCAGGGGGGTGATACAAGGTCAGGGGGGTGATAAAAGGTAGGGGTGATACGGTCAGGGGGGTTTATACAAGTAAGGGGGATGATACAAGGCATGGGGGTGAACAATCAGGGGGGTGATAAAGGTCAGGGGTGTGAACAAGGTAGGGTGGTCAAGTCAGGGGTGTGAACAAGGTCAGGGGGGTGATACAAAGGGCAGGGGGGATACAAGGTAGGGGGGTATACAAGGTCAGGGGTGGAACAAGGTCAGGGGTGGATACAAGGGCAGGGGTTGATACAAAGGTCAGGGTTTTGGGGACAAGGTCGGGTGTGATACAAAGGGCAGGGGGGGTGATACAAGTCAGGGGTTGAACAAGGGGAGGGTGTGATAAAAAGGCAGGGGGGTTTAAACAAGGGCAGGGGTGTGAAACAAGGTCAGGGTGGTACAAAAGTCAGGGGGGTGATACAAGTAGGGGGGTGATACAAGGTAGGGGTTGATACAAGGTCAGGGTGTGTACAAGGTCAGGGGGGTATACAAGGAAAGGGGGGTGATACAAAGGGCAGGGGTATGATCAAGGTCTGGGTGGATACAAGGGCAGGGGTGTGTACAAGGTCGGGGGGAATACAAGGTCAGGGTGTATACAAGGGGAGGGGGTTTATACAAGGTCAGGGGTGTTTACAAGGTCAGGGGAGATACAAGGTCAGGGTGATACAAGGAAAGGGGTGTACAAGGTCTGGGTGTGAACAAGGTCAGGGTGTGTCAAGGCAGGGTTGAACAAGGTCAGGGTGTGCAAAGGCAGGGTGTGAACAAGGTCGGGGGGTGATACAAGGTCAGGGTTGAACAAGGTCAGGGGGGGTGATACAAGGGCATGGGGTGATTAAAGGCGGGGTGTGATACAGGTCCAGGGGTGAAAAAGGTCAGGGGTTTATACAAGGTCAGGGTGTGATACAAGGTCAGGGGTGTGATACAAGGTCAGGGGTGTGATACAAGGTCAGGGGTGTGATACAAGGTCAGGGGTGTGATACAAGGTCAGGGGTATGATACAAGGTCAGGGGTGTGATACAAGGTCAGGGGTGTGATACAAGGTCAGGGGTGTGTTACAAGGTCAGGGGTGTGATACAAGGTCAGGGGTGTGATACAAGGTCAGGGGTGTGATACAAGGTCAGGGGTGTGATACAAGGTCAGGGGTGTGATACAAGGTCAGGGTGTGATAAAAAGGTCAGGGGTGTGATACAAGGTCAGGGGTTTTGATACAAGGTCAGGGGTGTGAAACAAGGTCAGGGTGTGATACAAGGTCAGGGGGGTGATACAAGTCAGGGTGTGTATACAAGGTCAGGGGTGTGATACAAGGTCAGGGGTTGATAAAGGTCAGGGGTGTGATACAAGGTCAGGGGTGGGGTTTACAAGGTCAGGGGTGTGATACAAGGTCAGGGTGTGATACAAGGTCAGGGTGTGATACAAGGTCAGGGTGTGTTTCAAGGTCAGGGGTGTGATACAAGGTAGGGGTGTTTATACAAGGTCAGGTGTGTTTCAAGGTCAGGGGTGTGATACAAGGTCAGGGGTGGGGATACAAGGGCAGGGGTGTGAACAAGGTCGGGGTGTTACAAGGTCAGGGTGTGATACAAGGTCAGGGGTGTGATACAAGGTCAGGGGTGTGATACAAGGTCAGGGGTGTGATACAAGGTCAGGGGTGTGATACAAGGTCAGGGGTGTGATACAAGGTCAGGGGGTGATACAAGGTCAGGGTGTGTTTCAAGGTCAGGGGGGTGATACAAGGTCAGGGGTGTGATACAAGGTCAGGGGTGTGATACAAGGTCAGGGGTGTGATACAAGGTCAGGGGTGTGATACAAGGTCAGGGGTGTGATACAAGGTCAGGGGTGTGATACAAGGTCAGGGGTGTGTACAAGGTCAGGGTGTGATACAAGGTCAGGGGTGTATACAAGGTCAGGGGTGTGATACAAGGTCAGGGGGTTTTAAAAAGGCCAGGGGGTGTGATACAAGGTCAGGGGTGTGATACAAGGTCAGGGGTGTGTTACAAGGTCAGGGGTGTGATACAAGGTCAGGGGTGTGATACAAGGTCAGGGGTGTGATACAAGGTCAGGGGTGTGATACAAGGTCAGGGGTGTGATACAAGGCCAGGGGTGTGATACAAGGTCAGGGGTGTGTTACAAGGCCAGGGGTGTGATACAAAGGTCAGGGGTGTGATACAAGGTCAGGGGTGTACAAGGCAGGGTGTGATCAAGGTCAGGGGTGTTACAAGGCCCGGGTGTGATACAAGGTCAGGGGTGTGATACAAGGTCAGGGGTGTGTTACAAGGCCAGGGGTGTGATACAAGGTCAGGGGTGTGTTACAAGGTCAGGGGTGTGATACAAGGTCAGGGGTGTGATACAAGGTCAGGGGTGTGATACAAGGTCAGGGGTGTGATACAAGGTCATGGGTGTGATACAAGGGCAGGGTGTGATACAAGGCCCGGGGGGTGATACAAGGCAGGGGTGTGATACAAGGTCAGGGGGGGTGTGATACAAGGTCAGGGGGGTGTACAAGGCCCTGGGGGTGATACAAGGTCAGGGGTGTGATACAAGGTCAGGGTTGATACAAGGTCAGGGGTGTGATACAAGGTCAGGGGTGTGATACCCAAGGTCAGGGGTGTGATACAAGTCAGGGGTGTGTTTCAAGGTCAGGGGTGTGATACAAGGTCAGGGTGTGATACAAGGTCAGGGGTTTTAATAAAGGTCGGGGGGTTGATACAAGGTCGGGGGTGTGATCAAGTAATGAAAAATCATAATACAAGTCGGGGTGTATACAACCCCCCAAGGGGGAAAAGGCAGGGGATCCGATACAAG